CAAACTTTCAAAACAAATTACATTAGGTAATAAAAGACAGTCTTTTTTAAATAATAAAATAAATTACTATTGACCTCTCTTCCGATTTAATGGTCGAGAGGTAAGTCAAAGCTATTAAAATATTTCTGATGAAGACTATTGAAACATGGACACTCAATTAAAATATAACAGACTGATACACAAACATTACATTTCAAACAAACAGGCTCATTCTCAGCTTTCAAAAGGTACTTATGTGTCACTCTGGTATGACCAATTCTGAGGCGAGTCAAAAGAATTTCCTCCTTATGATTTCCAGTAAAATCCCAATGTTGAATTCTAGGCTTAACATTTCTCAACTTGAAGTTGAATGTCCCAAATTTGCTGCCCATTTTTTTTTTTTTTTTCCAGATCTTCTTTTTGATGACACAACAGGAACAACTGTAAAAGGGATGAGGTGACTGGACAGTTCAACTGCAGATTTCGCTGCAATATCTGCCAGCTCATTTCCCTTTATTTCTGCATGCCCGGGAACCCAGCAGTACAGGACTTCATATCCTCGACTCGTTGAGTTTATACAAATCTTGAGAACAACCAATACCACATGATTCTGAGTGTTGGGAAAAGTTTCCATTGATTTAAGAGCACTCACTTTACGAGTGTATAAACTATGAACTTTTTGCGACAGAGCTTTAAAATATACAAAAGACCATAATATATTGCAATTAATTCAGATGATAAGACTGATAAAGCATGGTGCAAGCATCTGCCCTCTATATGATCTTCAATTACAAATGCCATCCAAATACGATCATTTCACTTATTTCCATCTGTATATATCAGATGATAACTGCTATATTTGTGCCTGTGCTCAGTGAAGTAATAATGTAAATGATCTCATTAGTGCTTCCCTTCACACGATGATTGAAAACATCAAGAAGCTGGATTTGTGCACTTTCCAAATGGGATTTCAAAAGTTTGCACTGCTTGGGGACACATAACAGAGAGGGAGAAATCTTCAATGGCAGGTCAAACACTTAAAGGAAAAGGAAGGCATGCAGGATGGACGTGCTTCAAATAAAGTGTCACACACATTATCAAGTAAGCACAGCTTATTAGGATGTTCAGGTTCTGACAAAATATTAAAATACTGCAAAAGGGACAACTGCTAATGCCTCGATTAAGTGATGGTTTGTTACAGTCAACATAAAGGCTCTGGATAGGATATCTGAAGGCTCCAGAACAAATTTGCAGAGCCTGATGATGAACAGGATCTAGTTTAAGCAACACTGAAGACCGAGCAGATCCATAAACAACTGAGCCATAGTCCAAGATCGGACAAGTGCTCTGGAAATGCGAAGCATAGAGCAACGCTCTGCACCCCAGGAGGTGTTCGCCAATACTTTTAAAATATTTAGTGTTTTTAAACACTTCTTTCTCAGATTAATGACATGAGAAAGAAAAGTCAATTTTCGGTCGAACAATCACACCTAAAAATTTTACTTCAACTGAAATTATTGACCTATTGAAATAATAATTCAGGCTTAGAATGAATCTCTCGCTTTCTACAAAAGTGCACTCACACAGTCTTCTGTTTCAAAAACATAAATCCTTGTCTATTTGCCCATTCCTGAACCCTGTTCAAAGCAATCTGGCACTGCCTCTCTACATGTCTCATATCTGCTCCTCAACAGCTAATTTGTAGGTCATCAACATATAAAGATCCTGAAATGATGGGTGGAAGTTCTTTTAGCACAGAGTTTATTTTTAGGCTGAACAGGGTTACACTAAGCACACAGCCTTGAAGAACACCCTATTCCTGTTCAAAAACATCCGACAAAACAGAGCCTATCCTTACTTGAAATGTTCTAGCATTTAAAAAATTCTGAATGAAAAATAGTAGGTTGCCTTGCAAGCCACTGTCATGAAGATCCTGAAGTATATCGTATCTCCATGCCTTATCATAAGCTTTTTCAATGTAAAAAAATATAGAGACAAGACTTTTTTTCTAACAAGAGCTTTTCAAATGGATGTCTCCAAAAGGAGCATGTTATCTATAGTTGTTCTTTCCTTTCAAAAACCACTTTGGTAAGAGGATATAACATTATTCTTTTCCAAGTAGTAGCCTAAGCAGCCGTTTAACCATTTTCTTCAAACAGCTTGCATACACAACTTGTGAAGGGTAATTGGCTGATAGTTCGAGTGATTCCTTGTATCCTTCCCTGGCTTAGGAATAGGAATCACAACAGCTCTCCTCCATGCACTGGGAAAATTTCACTCCTTCCACACCCTATTGTAAAGAGCGAGAAGGGCAGTCAGTGACTTATTGGATAGTTGCTTCAGCATTTCGTAATTCATGCCATTAAGACTTGGACAAGACCTACGTGTCTGCAACAAAGCTCTCTTTAGCACGGTAAAGTCTCTATTATAAGTTGGAAGAGATAAAAGCAATCGGATTTCTCTCAGTGCACTGCCTGATAGAAAGAAATGCAGGTGAATATTTTCTGCTGGAAGAAACAGCAGCAAAGGTCTCACCAATAGTATTCGCAATTTCTTCTATAGAGCTAATCACTCGCCCATCTTTTTCAAAGAAGGAAAGTGAGTGGTCTTTATATATTTCACACGCTTTTCTCTTTCCTAAACTCGCTTACCAGGCATAGAGGATGTCATTGATGATACATACGATATCCAGGAAACCCTTTGGCTCTGCTGTCTTACTTTTCGTGCATTTGCTTTGGCTCTTTTAAACGTTAAAAGGTTTCGCAAGGTAGGGGTACCCATGCTAAAATTTCCCATGCTAATGGAGAGCACAGCTGCCTGAATTATAGCATTAGTAACTGGATCACTAAGGGGCTCTAGGATCGTGACCCATGTCTCACCAAAAAGATGATCCCCTTAAGGGCTAGGGTACCTCAGGATTGCCACACCCATACTCACAAAAGTGAGCCCCTGAGGGGTTTCAGATGAGAATTTTTTAATTGCTTAGTCAGTAATGTTAAGTGAAAAGCCTGTGTCAACAGAAACTGTTTTTAAGTAGTTTAGTTCATAGTCAAGAGCCGATTTGGAGGAGCAAACTTTAGTGCACAAAAAACAAAGCAATCAAATGAAGCTAACTTCTGTTTAGTCAAATGACATGATTTAAAGTGTGGTAGAAGGCAGACGGATGAAGGCATATGGTATACAATAGTACTGAAGTTGGATATGTTGCACATAATCACGAAGGGAATTGAATGTCTTAAATTAAAAACTGAACTAAAGAGCAGGATCAATAGAATTCATTATCGAACGAAATTTATTTAATCATGTGATATTAAATATATCATCAACATAGGAGAATTATATGCAGAAGTTTAAAATTTCAAATAACTTGGATTCATGATAATGCATGTAGTTATCAGCTGGGATAGGGCTAAGAGTTACATCATAAAAAATTCAAAATAGTTCATCAAAAAGTAAATAAATAAATATACAGCACTTTCCCTAAAAAATTCATGGTTTCTTTTGACATAAAATCATTATTCACCAGTGTTCCAGTGGAAAGCACACTTAAATATTAGAAATGAGACTTTACAGAATTTCACTTCTGTATTGACACTGATGAGTTAATTTTCCTTACTCTGTCTGAAACCAACATATTTTCCAAATAAGTATTAGAACCAAACTGAAGGATTAGCCATGGGAAGCCCTCCTAGTCCTATCCTTGCTGATATCTGTATGCATGAGTCAAAATTACTTGAAATTTTAAACATCTGTGTGTGGTTCGGCTACGTTGGCAATACCCTGTTTGATGATAAAGATGGTTTAAATACGGTTCTTTCAATAATGAATTCCACTGATCTTGCTATTCAGTTTACTACCTCGACATCTTGGACATAGGCAACATATCCAACTTAGTACTACTGTTTACCGTAAAACCTTCATTAGTTTGCCTTCCACCACACTTCAAATCATGTCATTTGACTGAACCGAAGTTAGCTGTATTTTATTGCTTTGTTTTCCATGCGCTTCATGTTTGCTGCTCCACATCAACTCGTTTCCAAGAACTAAATTACTTGAAAGCAGTTACTATTGACAATTGGTTGAAAAATTCTCATCTTAACACATCAAAAAGGACCCTCTTATTTTAGGAGATAAGAATCCTATTGTCATTCCCCTTTTTTCCATCAATTAGCTATAAAATTACAAGTATTTTACAGAAATTCAACTTTCAGATTGTTTTCTGTTTTTTCAATAAAGTTTGAAGTTTTATACTGAAGATTTCATTCTGGATATGAATTTCTGGATACATACAGGATTCATTGCCAGTGTGGTTTAATGAACATTGGTCAAACTAAGACAGCTTTAAAATTTCACACTGAGGAACATAAGGCTTATGCTAGGATAAAATAAACACAGTTGGTAAGAAAAATCACATTTTTCATTTTTCAGCTTTCAGAATTATTCAAAAAACATATTTGCATTGGTGATTTGGATTATCTAGAGACATCACAATTCCAGTCTGTATTTACCTCAGCTTTTATGGAAATTATTTCAGAGTTGTTTCCATTTTTTATCAATATATGGCACCATTAGTTTGACTTCCTCCTTCTCATTCTTATGGCCTTATCACTGGCTTATCTTTCATCATTTGCACTTCTGCAGCTGAAGATGAAGCTTCTAAATTTAAACTTTTGAAACTAGTCCTGCAAATTTATGAATATTACACTGGTTCTTACTGTTTTAACTCCTCCAATAATCATTATTCAGCCTGTTATTTAAACTCAAATACAAGGTACAAATAAATATAATCAAGAAACACTTTTCGTGCATAAAAAAGCAAATATTAACTCTTTCTAAACCAAAAATGGAAACAAAATTAATTTAATTTATAAATAAGATCTAGAAGCACTGATTAATTTGAAGTACACACTAAACAACAATTTTTATAGTAAAAAGCATTGAAAAACTAAGATTTTAAACTAATTACTAAAACCTGACTACTTCCTGCATACTTAAATTATTTATACAATTAAAAAACTTACACTTCATCAATGTTTGGATGGTATATTTTATTCATAAAACCTAAAGAGAATAAAAAAACTAATTAGGAAATATATTTTTCATCCATTTATGAAACACATGTAAATCATGCAATAAATTTGTTTGAATTGCAACAAAATAATATATTACCAATAGATGGTGATTTGAAAGGATATTTTTCTGGTAAATCAACTCTGACTTTCCATACACCACCTTCATAAGGGGCTGAAAGAATAAATTATACAAAATAGTCTATTAAAAAAAAAGTGTCACATGTGCATATGTGCGTGAGAAATGTTAAATATCTAAAGACTCAAATGGTCCAATTTTAAAGATATTATGAATATAAAATAAAGGAAAAAAATGAAACCACAGATTAGTACAAATTTTGAATAAAATTCAACTGATTATAAATATGATGGGACACACCTCACTTTTTAGGGATAACTGAAGAAGAGGGACATTTTTTAAACTGATAGTTTATTAAAAAAATTATGCAAATATAAGGTTGCTTTTTACTTTTCTTTTTAAATTAGCATATTTCTCTAAGATACTTTCAATTATAAATCATATTAATTTATTTGTAAAACATTTAACTTTATTTAAAATTTTGCATTTTCTCCTTCTATTCCTAATATACCAACCAACAAGGGGGGAAAATAAGTAAGGTTTCTCCTCTAATAGTGATTACTTCCTTATGATATTTTTGAGAATACAAATAATGATAATAATTCTACATCAACCATTCCTTAACCTGAATGAGATCGTAAATAAAAAATGTTCCATTTCACAATAAAATTGACATATTTTATGTATCAAAGAAATCACAAATGATACATATAAATTTCTAAATTTCCCATAACAATAAAACTGTAGAGAAAATAGATGTTAATTGCATCTATCATTAATTTTACACTTTCTCAAAATAGCATAATTTATCACATAGGCTTAATTCTGTGCTGTGAATATCACCTTTAAAAGATCCATGCATTTCTAAACTGTTTATACTAATATTTTAGTGCTTTTTTTTAATTCCTTGTCTGAGTAATTAAGATGTCACAAATCAACAGTCAAGAACTGTCAGAAATAATTCAGTTCTGCTTTTATGTTATTGCAATTGATTGTGTTTATTTCCAAGTTCACATTTTATCATATGTATTCATGTTAAAACTTAACTGAGATAAAGACATTCTCAAACTTGTCAAGTGTCTCTAATACTAAAATGTGGAAGAAATACCAGAGAGAAAGAAGAAATCCTGGTTGTCTCCTTGAATGAAGTTCTAAATCCCAAACATAACTGAAAATAATCGGGTCATAATCTGGGAATTAAAAAAATGGTTGATTTATTTTATGAATTTTAAAACTATGTTAGAAAAGGAAATGATTAACAGAAACACATGAATAATCAAATAGACTGCATTCCATAGAAGAACTGTTTAAGGAGTGGTAAGTATTTCAATGCTACTAAAATTTAAATTTATAATGTGAATTCCCATCCTTCATCAACAAGATCTCTTTTCATGTTTAAAAAATAGTTCATTTACTACAATTCTGAAAATAACCAATTATTTTCTTAAATTCTGTTTTATTTAAAGATATCAATATTCAACTTTAAATTAATTTAAGTTAATCCATTATTTTATTAATATAAACCCATGTACTACATCTTTCAGTGTTTTTCTTTAGATAATGCCGACAGCACTGAAAAAATTAAAACGTCACCATTCAAATTAATAATTGACATGATTTATAATCATCTCTAACATGACCGATGGCATGCTGATAAGAGACTGTAAATAGCAATGAGCTCATTTTTCCCAAAAATTTCTTCTGCTATCCAAATGAAAACTTGGACTCAACTGTCACAGGAAAACAAAACCTGAGCATAGCATACCACTTTGACCAAGTAGCAGTTAAATGAATGGGGGCAGCCCTATTCATCTAAGCTGTTAACAAACATGTTAAAGTCATGGCAGCTGTGTCTTGGGACTAGAGAGACGTATTATAGCTTGATTTTCAGACTTACAATAAATGCTGACAGGTACTGTGCAACACTGAAGACACTCAGAAGGGCAATTCAGAAATGGGTAAGAGGAATGTTGAGCAAGGACATAAGCATTTTGCAACAATGCCTGCCCATGCATTGTCCATCAAACCATCACTCTCCTACAAAACTTTAATTGGAAAATCATCACCCACCCACCATGTATTTCGGACTTGGCACACAGTGACTACCACTTAGTCCCTAGGGTGAAGAAATTATTTGTCTGAATGAGGGTTACTCTCTAACAATGAGGTGAAAGATGAGATCCACTTCCTGAAGGCAGTGAGCTGGTAAGACATGGTATCTACAAAAATGCATTGACCAAAGTGGTGATTATATAGAAAGAGAAGGTAGTCTTCAACCTCTTAATTGATACAAATAAATCAGAAAATAAGTGGTTGTTTGTATATTAAAAAGTGCAGGAGACCTTATTTCTGGAATTGCTCCTTATATAATCAATTATAATAACTATTATATTAGATTTAATAGTAATGATAATATTACAATATAAAATTCAATAATTATAAACAATTCTTATACAGTATATAATTATTTATTACACTTTATTATCAAATTATGTACATACAGCAAAATTAAGCTTATAAAACACTCATATTGTTAACAATATATAAATACATATATGCACAAAATTAAACACAATGTAATCAAACATTTAGTTACAAACAATGATCAGCATATTTTCTTACTATACTTAAAAGTAATTTTTTGCCTCCTGAAATTTGTGCTCTTTGAATGCAGTGAATAGTAACTTGATCCCAATGGCACATGCGTGTTTGTGCTCACAGTTGCCCGGTGAGGATGAACTATATGATCCATTCAAATACTTTTCCAAAACCAGTAATATTTTATCAGACTTTAAGTGAAAAAAAAGCTTAAAATAATAAAAAATAAGCATTTTGTTGATATAATATTTATAGCAAATAGTATTTATGTTGCACGCCAGGTTTTTTTTTTTTTTTTTTTTAAGACAAAAATTTGGTTTCTAATATATATTCTACCTGTACTTTACAGCAAATGAATTTTTAAACTAATTGAAATGAAATAAGTAATGTAAAAATTTGTATACTTTTCACAGGAAAATCTGCTATGTAAGTAAAAAAAAATTCTAAAATAAAAAGCAGAAGTAGCTATTTGAGTTGCAGTCTTAAAAAGTAACTCAATCATATACTGAATTATAATATACATAATACATCCTCTGTATTCACGTATTTTTAGAATGAATTCAAGGCCATTTTCATTACTGTTTAAAATGTAAGGAGTGTTTTTTTTTTTTTTTTTTTTTTTTTTTTTTTGATTTGATAGAATTTTCAGGGGTACTGATTTCCATTCCTCATCCTCTACTTTACAGAGTCCATTAATAATCCATAAGTGACACAGTGAAGAGATAATAGTCCATAGGTGAAATGTCAAAGAACTTTGCAAGAATCAAAAAGGCATACAGTCAAAAGTCGTTAATTCGGACTCCCATAATCCGGAATGATCTATAATCCGGACCTCAAAGATACAAACTTCCTGCACATGCGTCGCATTGACGCATGCGCATAAGACCTTTACAGCTGCACATATGCGTGTGCGCATGCCCAAAATATATTTACGCATGCGCGTTTAATGTATAACGGACGGTATAAGCTAAGCTAAAATTATCTAATTAAGCTAATGTTGCAGATTGCGTTGTTCTTTAATCTTCGAACTGGATCCGGCTTATTATTTTTTGCAGACTGTTAGAGCAATTTTATAAAAGTAAGTTTGAACTTTCGATTATGTCAAATAGAATTTCCGATATATATTTACTAATATGTAAAGGATCTACAAAGCAAAAGTATGTTTCGAAGTCCATCAAACAAAAAGTGGAATTGCTGCAAAAAATGGATAAAGGCATATCCTTTGTTTATCTAACCATTCCGAAATCTGTTTATCAATTTTACGCTGCTCTGCGGCGAGGGGACGCTGCGGCGCGCAATGAATTGGAAGTTGATCTGTCAGCACTATCCTTATCTTCAGGGCAGATGTTTTTATCTTATTTGGCTTATAATTCCTTACTAAATGTATTTCATCTCGATGTACTTGTCTTTGATATGATTTAAATCAAATTCCTCGTCATTATAATTCGCTTCCGATAGCGAAGAAAGTAAAGTAAACAAATAAATATTAAGCTTTTTTTTTTTTGTGTGTGTAAATTTTGATACCCTTTAGATCATAATTGTTCTTTATTTCATAAATTACGGTTTCATATTTTTAGTTTTATAATTTCTGCATGCCATCTTACCAGATTTAAACTGATGATCTATAATCCGGAAAAATCGATAATCCGGAATCGCCGAAGTCCCGATTAACGACTTTTGACTGTATATGAAATACCTGGTTTCAGTTTTTATTTTTTTTAATGAAAGCAATGGTCCTTTTCGAAGTATGATTTGCTGCTTTGTCATAATGGAGATTGATTCTTTGAAAGTCACTGGGATAAAGAAACAGAATTTCTTCTGTAGATATCAAACATAAAACTTGATGGTACAATGAATTGAGTTTACTCTTAATGGTACAACACTAAGCTGATTTTAATATTTTTTCCATTCTTCTTATTTTTAATTTCCTTTGTAAGAAAATCCTGCAACAATCGCATATACCTTACTGAAACATTCTTTGCGCTGATGGAACCAGGTTTGTTATAAGAAATCATTTAGGAATACACAAACACTTAGTGGTAGACGTAAGATTAGTAAGTTTTTTTTTACTAAAATATAATGAGTTCATTGCATCAGGTGTGACATTAAATTACAAACATATTCATATTCAGATAAATTATTCCATAAACTTGGAGAAACTACAGAAAACATTCATCCTGGGTGAATTCATTTCAGGCTCCAGCTACAATACTGTTTGGATATTTTTTTTAACTCCACACATGCAAAAAAACATAACATATTACGGACTGTACGGGAGATTCCTGCAGACACGTTACTTTCTGCTGTTGTGCATACTGTGCACAGAATGCAATATGTGGTCCACAACAACAGCAGCCACATTGAACCTCATTTGAATGCAAAATAAAAGGTAATTTCCGTATTGATTTGAATTTATTAACACTCTATTTTCTATTACACAGCGGCAAATATTCCCCTAGCGGTGACTTCTGGAACTAATTTTTTTTTTCCGCGGAATC